AAATCTGTTTAAAATCTGTTTTTCCGTTAATCAGCTGTCGCCTCCATACGAACGACAACTCTCAGAAGTTGAGAAACTTGTGCGAGCTAAGGACTAACGAGGTCTTACCTTTTAACGTATGATTCCTAACACGGTTGCAGAATCATCCCAGCTTCAACCAGATAAATTCTCTCGAGAAAAATATCTGGTCGAGGTAGGAATCGAACCCACGGTCTTCCGATCGTGAGTCGGGCGCACTACCACCACGACCAATTCTAATTATGGCGATTAACTGTGCCATTTAAAAAAAAGAACATTCATCACTGAATCCTCCAAGTCAAGTTTTCGATGGCCCACCCTGTATATATACATATACACCAAACCGTTTGTTTCAACACTTCGACACGTGTTTCGATCACCAGAGGATCATCTTTAAGAGGAAGATTAAACTGTTCATCAGTTAGTTTTTTATAGTTTGTTATTCGTTAAGTTCATCATTCATGAATGAATCATTTATATAATAACTATTAAGCAGTTATCCTTTGAGACATGTAGATTATATATCAAGTTACGGCTCGAAAACAAAAAAATCTTGATGTCGAGTAGTAGTGTATTTTATGAATTCAGACAAAGGATACAGAACTTATGGAAAAAATACTTTTGGCAAAAATTCTTTCGGATGATTTGATTAGATATACGTACTTAATTTCAGCTTTGTATATCGTTTTGTTGAATGATGGGTTCATTCAGTATGATTGTTTACATACGTTCATATTTATGATTGTCTTCTACCTGAGAAAATTTATGATTTTTACATATAAACATTTTTGAGATGTCTTCATTTTATAGATTTTATGCAAAAAATCCAAGAAATCACAAAAAAATTCAATGAGTTTCTTTACGATTTCCACAAATACATCTTGTGACACCATTTAAATATTTTATAAAGTGGGTACTTGACCTAGTTTTCCAAAAATTTTCATGTTGCCAATCAATTATTGTTATATGGAATTTGTGATGACTATACCATTAATTCGGTTACGAAAAACAAAACCAGTTATATATTACATTCTTCACTTTTCCAGTAAATCTATCGTAATCTGTTATCTATAATTACATTTCAACTATTGAAAAAGGAACATCGCTAGTTCTCGTACTTGAGAACCATGAAACACCGATAATGAATATTTACAATCCCGATAATACTGCTCTCGTACAAAATTCTATTAATTACAAGTACATACAAATACATAGTACCCCCCCTCCCCTGTCAATAACTTACTCCAACCATAAATATATATTTACAAGAAAATTACTTTAACGTCTCGTGCGACTCTTTGGTTACTCAAGACGGCAATACCGCCTTTCATGACTCCCCATCAATGATTACCCCTCGAAGTGGGGCTAACAGACGAGCCCGTCGGCCGCCCCATGAAGCATAGGGGCTAAACCGGTGATGCAAAGCCGAAGGAAACATTGCCTTAGGCAGCCTCAGGTCGGAGGAAGTGCTGATCGACGTGGGGGAGGGGGAGCCCGAAGAACTGGGGGTAGAAGACGGCGGGGGAGTGAGCTGGTGTCTGTGGGCATTGGGAGGCCCCAGCAGACCGGGAGGCAGACCTGCGTGGATGCTGGACGGCCACGAGGATCCGCTCTGGGGCCACAGCTGGCCAGGAATGCCCAAGGGCATCGAATGTCGTTGTCCCAGGTACACTTGCTGACTGGGGGATGTGGTGTTGAGGAGGAAAGCGTGCAGCTCGCTGGGGTTGTACACCGCCCCCGCACGACCCCACATCTGGATCTGGGCTCTAGCTTTTTCTACCATCGCCGACGAGAAAAAGGAGTTAGCGTTGTTATTCTCTGCGTCCAGAGGGTCTCCAGAGTACAGGCGAAGGGAGGATCGAAGGAAGTGTTGGTCCATGAAAAGGCCATCCATGGGTTCCCTGTAACAAAAGAGAACGGGGTTATTCAATTGTTTGTTTATTGCAACAGTTCATCTACAGTAGAAATTATATCTGCAGGTTGTGATTTAGGATTTTCTAACGAAGAAGGTTAAAGAAGCCTTCGAGGAGGAATTCTGACCTATGTTTGTGCGTGATCAAAGTTAGGAATTACATTTCGAAGGGAATTAATGTTCACTTGGGTGTGCCCCAAAGATCTCACCGTGAGCCAATATCGTTCAACTTCGTGAACGACATATCTGCCATAACGCAGAAGCTGAACGTTTGTTTGAAGGTGATTGACAATGTTTCTGAATTTCTTCCTTTCAGTGATGTGTCAAAGTCGGTGATATGCAAAAAATCTTGACTCTACAAACTGATGTCATCAACAATTTATATTACTGAACCACTAACAATCTTCTGGGATCTAAATTCACTTTATAAAACTGGCAACACTGTACTAAATTGTTAGTTGTTCATAATACTACATTTAAATTCTCTTCAATAATATCTAAGTTCAAATAAACAGTTTTTTTCAAACGGGAATGAATAAAATACTTATTTAAAAGAAACCGCCTTCATTTTATACAAATTACTAGTTATCTCCAGTCGATCATAATATAGGTCGAAGACAAGCCAAAAAGTCTAACGCCAAAGCTTCCCGATATTATTTCTTAACCCAAATTCAAGAACACTACAAATCTTTAGATGCTTCTTCAGAAGAATAATTCTGTGGAATAATATCTGTCATATTCCACTCAGAATTCTGAAAAATCTAAATTAAAGTTTCATGTACTTTCAGTTCGATAAAAATGCTCGTAATTCTCACATACATCATCAGCGTTGGTTATTTTCATCCGCAACCATTTCTAAATGACCCCCGACCACAAAACAGTATCGAAGCTAAAACAATAAATCTAACAGTCAATAATGAAAACGGTGAAACATAATTAAAGTATAGACACGGACGAAAAAACTCCCTGATGCATTCCAAACAAAGAGCAACTTCGCATTAAAATCGTTGTTCTATAATTTGTCCACGACAATTCCTAATTTGTTTCACACCGCAGCGGCAAAGATAATCACAAGGTATTAGACAAACAAATTTGTTTTTATCTCTGACGTATCTGTCGGTCTCGTAGATCAATCGGCCAGCGGCTAGCATTGATCCTCGGAGGACCATTGCCCAAAGAAATGGACCTCGTACAGGACCGTAGTTAGGTTTCGGGCATTGTAAGGGGCCTCGAACAATTTTGAAGTTCCCAGAAACACAAATTACAATAAGTGGTCAATCGGCTTTTAGTATTTCTCTAAATCTATTGAAAAAAGCATCAATTACTTCATTTCTTTGAGGAAGTGGCCAAAATGATTCATAACCCACACCTTCTAACCAACATTGACCAGATTCATGACCCACTACATCTGGAAAAGTCACAGATAAGCAAATGCATAACTTTACAGTTGTCTCATTTGCATGATGTTACCAAACCATAACATATGTTTCGGCTTCTTCGGGCTTCTTCAGATAGGTACTGTGTTAGAGTGGCCTCATTTGGCGACTCAGGTTTCTATGGTTGTTTCTCAGGTTATTTTTTGATCAGTTTGAGAAAAAACATCATATGATCATATGTCACGATGGCCTCAACTCTCAATCTATCAAGTACCAAAGTTTTGAGCATTTTTTTAAACTATAACTTTGGTATGATTCAGATATTCATGCATTCAGATGTTTGTTCAGGATTTGGATTTGAGGATTTCAAAGAGAATAGTGACTTGCCACTGTTTTTCAAGTGGAAATTACTCCTGAAATTTTCTGTAAGCGAATTGATTTCTTCATTTTTTTCCGGCGTACGATTTTCTAGTTCAAAAAGGAAATTTATTCATTGAGTCTTGCGAAAAAAAACAATTCATGTTTGTACACAAATTTTTATATTGTCCTTCAAATTTTCGGAAAGACTGTGGAGAAATGATGAATTTTTGAATTTTTTCCGAAAAAATTCACTGAATAACAGTTAATGAAGAATGTTTGTGATATTTTTGACCTAATTCGAAGCACACACATATAAGTCTAATAATTATTGAAGAAAATTCATATGTTGTCGACTTTCAGCATAAACCCTTATCCAATTAAGTGTAATTTGAATGAATATTTTCAAATATATGACAGATTTAAAATTCCGCGGGGTCGGTACCACTGCAGCGATCGCACGCGTTTATATGTATATTCAGTATCAGCATTGCACCCGTGTGGAGCTGGGACGGCTCTCTAGTTTTATATAAGACATCCAGAAATCTCAAACCATACTCAAAACTTATTCCCATAAAAAGACATTTTTAATTTGAATAGACATTTTATTCTGAATCTCAATGAAATCAAAAAGAATACGCGATGTTCTTGTGGCTTTCAAGGAACGATAAATTTGAACAATGAAATCATATTATTGACACAAATACGACTTTGGTCATTTACGTACTCTGTTCAATATATTCCAACAATCAATAATTGTTCTTGCAAACAAATTTCCGTATTTCTTTATTCAGGAAATAAAACTAATTCAATGCGAGCTGAATGCCTAATCATTTGTACTAGTTTGGACTACCATTGTATGAGTGTGAAAACAGGTTTGATTGCCAAGAGAAGTTAAATATGCATGAATTAATGTTAATTATAAAAGTATAACATTATTCAGAAGAAGAAAAACACCAACTAGTCAGCACTGAAATCATTTGGAGAGACTGGACTGTATAAGTGAATATAAGTGAGCCACACTTGATTGACTCACAAAGAAAGAAGAAAAGACTGATGGCATTTGAAGTCGGCGACTAAATTGAAGGATAACAGCCCTGAAACTGTTCCTTGTGGTACACATTTCAAAAGAATTCACGTGTGCCACACACCAAAAACTTTCGAAACAACCCGTCTCATACTCCCCCTCGTTACAGCCGGACCTGCTTTGATGTAGATCCAAACGGAGGCACAAGACAAATCACAGAGCGGATTGATCTGCCGGTTGGCCCGGCGAAAACAATCAATAATATTGAGACGGGCCGAAGTCGCGCGCTGAGGTGATAATGAGAGCGAGATGCCCCGCCTCCCGACTATCGAGCCCCCTCCCCCCGTCTTCCTAATTAGCGGGTAAGAAGGAGAAAATAACTGGGAAAACACGACACAACCTACCTGAGGTGTGAGAAAATGCGGCGGCTTCATTATATCATCAAAGCGGCTCCGAAGACAACGATTGTGTGAAATTACAGGGCGGCGGATTGATGCACGACCTCCGGCAATACTGCCAACGTTTTGAAACACGTAAATTAAATTCTATCACAACAGGAATGAGACTGGTTTGCGGTCGGAGGGACCAGCGGCTTCCTCGAATGTTTGAAAAAATTGAGGAGGGCACTTTGAGACGAATACAACTGTTATCTTCAGCTCCCTGTGGTGATAAATTAGGATTTTACTGTCTGACTTTCAGTGTTAAACGTCAAACTGTCAGCTGTCACTCAACAACATCAAGATACGTGCTAAAAGACTAGGAGTACAGTCGAATCCTAGAAATCAAGCAGGGAGTACCTCAAGGATCAACAGTAGGCCCCTTGCTCTTCTTTATTAATTCAAACGATTCTATCAACTATATACTTGCATAGTATTTGGTACATTAATCTCGAACGGTAAATAGAAAGTATTATCTTGAAATTGGGCGCCGCTTTCCGAAAACAATACGNTCCAGTGCTCTATACTTTTGAGCATCTTCCCTATCATGTTCTCTGGTGTTAATTCTCCTGTCGTCATTTCTGCGTTTCGTCTCTGTTCTTCCCAACGTATGAATTCAAAGATTGTATGTTCTACCGTATCTATCATTCCACAATACTTGCACTCTTCTGTGTCACTCACTTTAAACCTAAATAGATACGCCTGAAAACACCCATGCCCCGTTAGTACTTGTGTGAGAAAGTAATTCACTTCTCCCCATTTTCTGTTCATGCATGGTTCTATGTCTTTTATCAGTCTCCTTATCCAGTTGGCCTTTCCATCGTCTATCTCCCAAGGTTGTTGCCATTTTTCTATAATTTATAACCTTGCTAGCCCTTTTGATACGTTGTTTTGTACTATTGTTCTCTCTTCCGCCAGCAGATCTATTGGGGGAGGGGTTCTTGCAATCATCAGCAGAGCTTTAGTTGATGTTGTTTCATATGCACACACTATTTTTATGGCTGCTTTCCGTTGAACACTGGCTTTTTCCAAATCGTTGCGCCATATAGCATGATCGACTGGGCGACTGAGCATAGAATTCTTCTGCTACCTTCTCGAGGACCCCCCAACGTTGTGCATTATTCTGCTAATGTTGTTTATGGCTTTTCCTGCTTTTTTTGCTATTTTTCTAACATGAGCTCCCATTTTCATATTTCGATCCATGTGGATTCCCAGGTATTTAGTAGATTCTTGGCTACGGATGTTCGTTTCCTCCAATTCAATTGTACTACTTTTCAGTTTTCTGCCTGCTGCAGCCTCTGATTTGTGGGAGGCAAGCTTGAGTTGTTTCGCTGTCATCCACTCGGCTATATCCCACAGTTCTATTGGAAGTTCTTACCTGACTTTTTTCATTTTTCCCCACCACCACTACGGCTAGGTCATCTGCGTAGCCTATTAGGTTAACTTCCCTAGGGACCTTCAGATTCAGTACCCTATCATAGTATATGTTCCACAATGGGACCAATTACGGAGCCTTGTGGAACACCACAGGTGATGTTAACTTTTCTCTTGTGTGCTACTATTAACTATCTCTCTTCAAGGTAGCTGGCAATCATATTGTACAGTTAAAAAGGTACATCTTTTCTTTTGATTTCGTTCAAGATCCCTTCCTATAGCAAGGAGTTGTAAGCGTTTTGTACATCTAACGTTATCATGGCGCACCTTTTCTTTGAAGTCCTTTAGTTTGCTTGATCTGCGATGTTTTGTACCTTGGCCAGTGCATCTGTTGTTGACCTACCTTTTGGAAACCGAACTGATTTTCATTTAGTTAACAGGCTTGCTAGCTATCAGTGGTGCCATCCGTACCACATCGTCAGGGGCCATGGAGATCCTCCTAAAGTCTATCTAAATCCAAGATAGAGTAAAACAAAACAAAACCGAAGAGTAATGTTCAAGTGATAGCCCAAAGTCAGATGGAAAGGGCAGCGTTCATTGGTGAATTCGCCTTCTTGGTACGAGTTCGGTACCAGCACAGGGTTGTAATCAGTCGTTTGCGTGTTTGTGTGGCGTTATAGTATTTTTGATGAGGCTTTGAAAAGAGTCACAGCGGAGAAATGGGAGAAGTGTGTTCGGCATGTGATATCGGAAGTCGAGACAAAGATGTGGAAGCTTGATAGCATAATAGAGGCACAAATCGAGCCACTGATAATTCAGATTGGAGAGGATGACACTACTAATGAAGAGACAAATTCATCCAGTTGAATAATTTTGATTAATATTCCTTTTGATTTTACATGAAATAAAAATTATCAATAAAGAAATAATTACGTCTCTTTTCATATAATGCTTGAGTGCGCTGTGAAAAATACAATGACATTTTTTCATATTACACATATTATCTGCATTTTTCCCGTTAAACTGCAAAACTTGTGCATTTCACTCGTTATTATAAAGAAGTTTTCCTAAGTATGATATAGCATTTGCGATCAACAAGATGTTGGTTCTGAATACGACCCTGGCCAATTCTTGGGATTTTCAATATCACGTGCGTAGGGCATGTCGATGTTTACATCCACTCTATCTTGGTTTTGAATTTGCTTTAGATCTACCTTCTTTACACATTTTTCTGGAGAGAGAGGCTAGATGGACTGCATATAAAGTTGTGCACATTGCCAACTGCACAAATCGAATTAATGCAGAGGGCAACAGACTGTTGGTTGACTTTGGAAGTCACAGCATTCTGTTAATGACCTCTGACTTTATGTCTCCAACTGTCAACTACGAACCACCTTATAAAATACTGTTCCCGAGTAGGGAGAACTGGATCCTACAGGAGAAGAAAATATTAAGAGCAGATAGTTGTTGATTCACAGATGGATCAAAAACACCTTCAGGTTCTGAAGCAGGTGTTTTTAGTCGCAGACCCAGGACAAAGATATCAATCTGCCTGGGAACCTATGCGATTTGAAGAAAACGTACATTTTGATGTTGAATTATGCAGCTTCACGTTGATGTCGCCTTTATTTCCAAAGAGTCACATCCAGGGCTATCCATCGTAATTTTTATAACCCCGGCTACGGCAAACAAACTTAACATTCAGCCTGATACTGTCTCTAAACCCCCACAAAAAGTAATATCAGCTCGGAACCGGGAAAAAGTAATAAGCAAAATTTACTGTCTGTTTTAATGTCGGTGGATGTTTTTCCCGCACTATAAGGTCTATTATCCATCGTCAGACCACAATACCTTAATTAGATTTGGTGAACGCGGTTCGCAACGGCATCGTTAAAAAGATTTTTTCTGACTCTAATTATCTTATTGTTATTAGCGGTTTTTATAACGTCGTAAATGTGCACGGTAGCTGATGATCAAAAGCATCTGTTCGTATGCCGGAAAATTTCCATTAATATTTTGAATGAAACTCCAAATCAAAACATCACGACGGAATTGTTTTTTGAAATTATCACTGCAAATTTTCTCTTTACTTCGAAACAAATTTTACAACTGTCCGCCCTCTGTTGGAGACTTACTGCATCTCAGTATTGCTATAGAATTTGAGACCTCAAACTTTATTATGTTGTTTGAGAGGAATTTTACATTCGTGCGCCGTCTATTAAAGATTTATAATACTAGTGACTAGAACTTAAAAAAATAGTTTTGACAATAAATTGGACTGAAAAGTGAAAAATAAATATAGTTTGAAAAAACTAAAAAATACGCTTCTAAAAAACATCGAACTAAAAAGTTGAAAATGTTTTTAAATTTTTAATCATTTAAATATATTTTTTTAAAGTACTCCTGTCCTAGTAAAGTTGTCGTCTGAGGAGAAGTAGATCACCCCGTACTCTTCCTGGGTAACTGCAGTCCAATGGGACCACCCTGTAAAAGGTAAAGGTTGTACCACCTTGTAGAAGGTCGCACCACCCTATAGCATAAGTCAGAAACCAACCAGTCTAGCACTCAAAGTCCACCCTGTAAGTACTGCACAGTTCCAGTAACTTTCAGAACCAAGGAAAATTGGTAACGAGGAAAAAAACCCTGACTGAAAAGGAGTTTTCTCCTCGAATACGACAGAGTTGAGAAGAACGATGCAAATAGCCGATCTGCCCTGCGAGACGCTTTTCAGCCTTATTGAACCTGATGGGACTTTATGGAATCGGTAATGAACATCACCACCATGGATGAGATCGATGTGGTGTTAAATTTTCCAGATCCTCCGTAGAGGATCTACACACATAAGCAACACCAATCTATCATGAACTTGTTGAATTAGGTTCCAAAATATATTCCCAGTAAAGGATGATTTAAGAATCATAAAATTTCACGAACCAAAACCTCAACAGACATCATACAACCTTTCTTATCTACACTTCTCCCCCGCTGGTCACCCCCTTTTTCCAGACTGTCAAAACTCAAATTTGTTGAGTTGCCCAGAGATGTCACTGACATAATCATCAACCGAATCAGAATTGATTTCAATGCTTTGCTAACACGACCTAAATCTCCACTGATGTTAAATATCTTGCCAAATACACATTACCAGCTCAGGAAATACATTATCTTACCAGAAATCATCAAGAAACATCGCGTTCTGCTGAAATTTCCCTCGCATGCCTGGCAATGTCGCATATTTTCGACAGCCGAAACGATTGCGCATCGTCCAAGGTCTTGTTTCTGTCAACCGGCGAACACCGGAATGTAAACAACAATTAACAAATCAAACCTAGAATCCAATTGGGACAACGGAAATTCTAGATCAAGGGGAAAATACATCAAGATAAGCGATAAGAAGATAATAATATAAGTCAATTTTTGATCGAGACCCAATTGTCGTGAAATTTGAGCATACAGATTGTGTGTACCCAATAATAATGTTGCATATTCTTTTTCCAGGTGGAGACGTGGAAAATCTTTCATGTACCTTACGCTCGGGATCGTTAATAATATGTTGGACTTCCACAAGATTACGACTAAACTTTTACCTCTCTTGATTGAATATAGTGATTTGTAAGTTGTTACACCGTGAAGTGTAATTATTGTGAGTGAAATAAAGAGTCATAGAAATTTGTTATACCATACATATATCGACAATTCTTTATAACATGTTTATATATCTGAAGCTAAAATTGAACGCTACAATCTGAGCTTTATAAAGCATGAAAAAGTTGTTGAGATGTGTACCGTTTTCCTGTTCGGAACAGTATTCCAAGATTCTGCGAAGCAGCCGTCGATATGATTGTGCCAGATTTATGTAAAGCGCCAATTTTATCTTCTCTTGAATTTGTTGAAAATTCTGGTTCGATAGAGGGATATGTTTTTTTCCGAAATAGAGCTGCAAAATCTCTTGATACATGTATTTTTTCAACCAGTTTCAGTTAATCGTAGAAGTGCTGTCTTCTGCAAAATGAAACTCCTTTCTATAGAGAACCGCGAATCCCATTTCCCGTCTCGCAAATGATTATTGAAGGACTTTTAGATCACAATGAAAAATGAGTTTACTGTCGCATTTTCATCACAAAGCCCCCCCCCTTCCTTTCTCTCAACCGACACCTCCATTAAATCACAACCCACCTATATAACTCTCTAAGATACAAACTAGTCTAGAAGTTGTAAATCGTCAGAAATCCATACCTGTCAAAGTCGGTGAGTCGCGAAGAATCCCTGAAGCCTTTTGCGAAGGGGTTCGAATCGATTTTCAGTTTGGTGATGAGCTGATTTTGATAGGCAGTAACTGCCGTGAAAACGGTCTCTGGAAAAATGAAGGTTCGGTATTGCTCTTGTTCCAGGTCGGTTATAGGGCCGGAGTGCTCTTTCCACTTCACCAGATGGATTCTCGGTTGGTATCTGTGCATTGAGTTCAGGACGATCTGAAACAAAATTGTAGATTAGGTGCTGTGTGAAATACTGATATTATCATAAATCAAAAATATACCGCAAGAAATATGTGACGGAAAAAAGTTGGAGAATAGTTTTTCTCAAAACCAGAAACTGAAACATTACTGGATGTACAATCTAATTTAGTTTACAAAGTGAGCTGTGGAAACTGTCTTAGAAGTTATGTTGGCCAAGTCGGAAGTTATCTTAGAACACGAGTTTTAAAACACATTCATATGAATAGTAAGTAGGTACGTATTGTTATTCATGAAAGAGGGCATATTTTTCAATTGAAACGTACAACGATTGTGAATGTTGAAGAAGCCGCGCAACGACAGTAATGTCGCTGAACCTACCAGAACCTTCGCGGAGGCCATCGTGAGACACCTCAAGGTTGCCAAATAGAGCGTGTGGACGGCGNGTTTTACCATCGCCTATGAGCCTGCCAAGTAGAGGGTGGAGGCCAATTTCAGCATCTGTTACGTTAATTCGCCCGTAGATAGCACTAAGTTAGGTGTTTGTGACTTTTCAAATGAGTTTTTTTTCATTTCGTTGTAACCACAAAAATAAAATGAAGGGTATGGTCAGAATCCATTTTTTACGACCATTTCAATGAGCCCATACACGACATAGGTTTGCATTTGAAAAAAAAAGTTGGGAGGAGTTGCAACTAAGGGGTTGAAAAAAAAATCATTTTAACGCCAAAAAATGCGTACAACGTGAAATCAACTGATGTGTTTCAGCGTTTTTTCCTAAAATACTGGTTCAAAAGATATTAATTTTATTCCGGACTTTTGCGCACCCCTGTATATACTTGAAACATCCATTCAAGAAGCGATGTGTAATGATGCTAATACTTTGATACGGTTAAAAAAGTTAAGGCAGTGTTTTTGGGGTTGACTGAAGGTCTTCGTCTCTACATAAAATGAACTCCCCCTTTTCTCCTGATTATCAGCTCAGTCACAAATATGTAGTGCGAAATTTATGTGAGAAACGAAGGCGATTATTATTATTTTTATTATTCATCTGAACGACTTTTGAGTGAAATTATTCATCAATACACCAATAAAAACAGGTTACATCTTATCAAAATCATAGATGACGTATGTTTTATGAAAAACGCAGAGCCCTGAAGTAGAATTGAATTGAATTCAAAACGTTGGCAAGAAAACAACTGTTTTTCTAAGATAATTTCTCCCTGTTGCCCAACTAACCTTTCTAGAAAAAAGTTTTCGTCGATGTTTGCTCATTGTATTGTAGTTTCATTTTTTTTGAGTAACGTGTCAACTTCCTGTGAGTTCAAAGAATCAATAAAGACTGACCGAAGATCGAGTTTCATTTGCAAGGAACGGAAGCACCAAAACGCGCCTATCGAAGCGAAAGTTGCCTTGTCAACAGAGGAAGCGCTTCGAACATTTCCGACTACCGTCGACCGCCGCCACCTCGATTACAATATGTAGATAAACGCGGTTGACGCCGCGTTGAGTGACATTCGCGCGCGCTTGCGTTGCGAAGTTCCCTGTCTAGCGATAGCACAAGCTGGAGAGAGTTGCTAAGCAACACGGTTCCTAACTCTTGCTCCGATAATGATTGGTGGCGTAGAGACTTACAATGGCTGCCATACTGTCTAGTGCTTCGCTTCGCGATAAACACACTATTCCGTTACGGTTATTAAATCAAAATGATACTTTTGATGGTGACACCATGACAATGGTGACAATGAACAAATTAGTAACATTGTAATATTGATAATAATAATATCTTTATTTGTCTTGAGAAACACAAGGTTTATAGACATGTCAAAACAAATGGCGCAATTAAAATCAGGCTATTTACATCTTAAGATTCCACAACCAATGGTGGTCATGAATTGAGAAATGAAAAATACGAAGACATACTCATTAAAACAAATTACATTACATGATGGAATTAGACGGTAATCATAAGGTTGAAAAAATTAGATCGAGATCATCAAGAATATCAAGAACGTTAGGAAGTTCAGTACAAACATTTGAGTTAAGTTACAATACACATACTTAGTCAACTGGGAACATACCTATTATTTAGGTGTCCACAATAATAATGATATATTTGGTTTTTGTCAGATACAATTTTTATACCGAGAGTCAGTCAAAAACACAAAACAAAAACAAACGATTTCATGAAATAGTTTTAAGAGTGAAAAAACGTCATCTACAAGATTTTTTAGGAAAGAATCAAATGCCAGACAGGTAGATCCAAAGGAAGTGAGTCTGTTCGCCAGGTTTTATCATAGTGGAGTCGATTACTTTATTTGGTCAGTGATCTTTCAGGTCATCTGGCAAGAGTGAGGCTCTTCCAAACAATGGAAACCTGATTCGGAAAGGCATAAAGTGTGTGCTTCATTTCCCCACTATCGTCGTCTTAAATTTGAATAATTGCAAGTCGGCAGTCGATGTCAAAGTTTGGCTTTGTAACGATACACCTTGAAGAGCCTTATATAACTTTGATTTCTGAGAATAGAGTCGTCCCAACTAGAAGCGAAAAACAACTTTGAGGTTCAACAGAACGTTTCCCCTACAAAACTTTTGTTCAATTCAACGGCTGTATATTCTGGTATCAAAACAACTGATGAGCTGATCCTTATTAATACTAATATTTTACCTGTCAGTTCCTTTACAACGTGGAGTAGATTTAAATATTGATGAATATGGTGGAAGACCCCGGACACAAGGTTAAGTTTATCAAATATACGAAGAACCCTGATTGTTATACCACAAAATCAGCTATGAGCAGAGTGAAGAAGAAGTTTTGTGAGCGATAACTTCACAAAGGGTCATCATGGAAGTTCAGAAAACATAAAACTAGACATCAGGAAGTCTTGGTAATGCAATGATGTCAATAATCCATTCTTCCTGAATTGAATAGTTCACCTTCTGATTGACACCTGTACTGTGAATGGGCAAAATTACCAATATTGAGCTCTTGGGAATTTTCGTTGGTAAATGTTAGTGCAGTCCCAATATTCATAGCTATTGGATAACCATGGCATCGTTAGTTCATGTAGTTCCTACAAAATTGTCCAGTACCGCATTACTCCAGGACAGTACATAATTATTAAGAAAGAACGTATTCTTACACAGGCAGATTGGTAGACGCAGAACAATAGAATGGCCAGAACCATTACGTTAGATTTTCGATATGGCCAATAGTGATGCCATAGTGCCCAAGTCTTGATATATTCCATAATACAATTCATTATTACATTGAAGTGGCTTTTCCACCAATTCGTTTACGTGGACAGAGAAAAAGAAAAAAAATAATTCTAATATTATCAACCAGGAACTCAAAGGCTTGGTTTCGCTTTATTCAGAGTGTGCCAGGGAAGATGATCGCTATAAAACTATGAGCAAGCATCTCGCACAAATATATAGGGAAGAATTGAAGGAAAATCATAATCCAATCCATACCATGTGTAAAGTGACAAACTCTGTTTGCGATAATTTAGATATTTTTAGTTGCAAATTGTCAGATATAAAATCCCACTTCCTAAAATAATTGTTTTGTCACCTATTATGAATATAAAATGTGTGGTATTTATAGTCACTTGTTTGTATTGTTTGTAGACTTTACAGTCACTTGCTTGTGATGTATTCATTATACTCTGTTATTTCCTGCTCTGTATTTCCTGCTCTGTAGAGTATTGTATTACAAATAACTAAATAAATAAATAAATAAGAAATATTATATGGAATCAATGCGCCGCTTGCGAGAAGTAATACGATGAAATCGTCCGAAATTGTGAAAAAACAATGCATGTCTATCACAACACTATAATGCACATGTTCACTCGTATTCACCACTCAGTCACCGTATTCACCAGATTTGCCACCCTGCGACAATTTCCTGTTCCCAAGATTGAAGAGACCGATAAAAGGACGGCGTTTTACGACGATTGAGGAGATGAAAACCGAATCGTGGGGAGAACTCAAAGACATACCAAAAAGTGTACATCAGAACTGCGTCGATGATTAGAAAAAACGCTGACACATGTACAATATATCTGAGGGGGCTATTTTGGAGGTGAAAAACAGAAACTGAAGATTAAATAAGTATTTTTCGAGAAAAGTGAAAATTTACCTCATTTTTTCAACATACCTCGTATATTCCCAGATCCAGCTAATGATACAGTTAATTTTTTTCTTCTTGTCAAGTCTTTGGGCAATGTTGGTTTGCAATTGAAACTATTTCGATACTTCCTTGGAGATCGAGCTCAAATCTTGAACATCAATAGTTATTTCAGTATCTCAAGAATAATGATTTATGGTATACATCAAGGAACAGACTTAGGTCTCATACTATTTATTTTAAATGATTATAATTTATATTTGTTGAATAATGTTGTGAAGTACTGATACCATTCGCAGATGACACGGTTGTGTCCTAAAGCGATGTTGATTAGAACAATATGAAAATTGAAGTGGAGGAAGATTTCGTCAAAATAAGTCATTGGTTGAAAAATATTTTAATAAGGTCGAATTCTGAAAAAATTTTTTTTGTGACCTTCAACTCATACAACAATGAGTTGACGTCATGAAACTCAATACAAGTAGAAGGTTATAGAGTAATAACTGACATCGACATGAAAACGAATACAAAATATCTAAGTGTGTACACTCATAGTACCTTGAAGTGGGATTCTCATATAGAATTCATTATGAAGAAGTTGAGATCTATCATATTATCATTCCACGAATATAAAGATTAAATAAGGTGGGACGGTAGCCTGGTAGGTTGACGTGGGTGATTTGCTCCATTCACTCAATCGACCGCTGTGCGAACTGGTGGTTCAAACCGCAAGGCTGAACGATCGATTTTCACTTCTTATCGTCTAGCCCAGATTGTCAGGGAACTAGCTCATGGTCTGATTCACTGCGACCTTATCAGTTACATTGTGATGCTCCTTGGTTGTTAGAGCTCATTGTCTAGCTTGATCTCTTTGATAAGACTCCAT